CGGCCACTCCCTCCCCGATCCAGGCTGACCCTTTCTCCCCTGGGGACAGGCGATGACCCTGGCCAAGGACATCCGGGACCGGGAGCGCGGGGGCCGTGCCAAGGTGAGCATAGTGGATGGCGAGGACGAGGGCGCCTCGCCGGAGCTCATGCAGGTCCTCACGCACTTGCTGGGTGAGAAGAGGGACATCAAGGCAGCCACACCTGATACTGAAGTGGACCAGAAGCTCAAGTCTTCCCTCAAGCTCTACCAGTGAGTTGCCAGGGGTGGGTTGCCCACAGGGGCATCTCGCAGGGTGCCAGAGGAACCCAGCACCCATCTCTACTGTCCTACAACTCCCATCCCCATGGACAGCCACCAAGAGGGATCAAGGCCACTGTGGGGGTGGGGACAGGTCCTTTGGATGACATTGGAGCAAGGAGAGTTCCTGGTGCCAACAGGGTTGGTACCCAATGGAGAGATGCTAATGCAAGTGTGACCTTTGGATACAGTAGCAATGTCCCTGGGCGGCCCCATCACATCTGACACACCTTTGTCCCTCCTCATGGCCATGAGTGTGCTGCATGGTTGCCACCATGGCAGGGCAAGAGAGTCCCTGGGTGCCACCTCTGTCATGGTCAGGGTGGGAAAGGGGATGGGGAGGGGACAGCCTCACCCAGCCCTGCCACCCCGAGGTGGGAATGGGGAGAGGGTTTTTCCAGCCCTATTTCTAACCCTTCCTTCTCTCTTTTCCTCTGCCAGCATCTCCAATGCCAGCGGGAACCTGGTTCTACAGGAGGTGGGGATTCGACCCCTGACTCAAGATATGCTCCTGCATGAGGTGTGTCACCCATGGGATGCTTGGGGGTGCCCAATTTCCTTGGCAGCTTTAACCCTTCAAAAGCCAATTTGGTGGGCCCAACAAATCGGCTTTTGAAGGGTTAAAGCTGCCCAAAGTCCTAATTTCTGCTGCTGTCACCCCTCCAAGGACTGCTACATCCTTGATCAAGGAGGTCTCAAGATCTTCGTGTGGAAAGGCAAGAAAGCCACCAAGGAAGAGAAGCAAGAGGCGATGAACAGGGCACTGGTGGGTGCTGGGTTAGGGGTCAGTTCTGGGACAGCCTGGCTGCTCCCCGGAGTGCCAGGCACCCTATGCCCATGCTCTGGGTCTGAATTCCCCCAGGGCTTCATCAAAGCCAAGAACTACCCAGCCACCACCAGCGTGGAGACGGAGAATGATGGGTCCGAGTCAACCGTCTTCAGGCAGCTCTTCCAAAAATGGACTCTCCCCAACCAGACCAGCGGGTTGGGCAAGACCCACACTGTGGGCAAAGTGGGTGAGTGTCCTCTTCTGACACTGCAGGGCTCCTTGGATTGGGATGGGGGGTGCTGTGGGGACACCCACAGCCAGCAGGATGAGGCTCAGCCCTCTGCCCTTCCCCACAGCC